GCTTTAAGGGGCGCAAGAAGCTCACCCTTCAGCTCCACGCTACTCCATGCGATCCATGCACTCCATGCACCTTATAAATTGCTAGTCCTGTGTTCTTGTTCAGGTCAGCCGTTACAAAAATAACATATAGATACAACAGCTGAACTTCTAAACAAACTGAAGGTTTTCATTTTGATTTTCTTTTTATCCAGATGGCAGATGGTACGTGCGCTGCGTTCGCGGAAAGTGTGCGACGGTAGGGTCGTGCACGGACATAATAGCGATTAGATAATCCATATGGAAGACCTCGACGTCGATCCATTTTCATGTTATATTAGGCACCATGACCATCGGTAGTACTAGAAGACTTTTTCAAGCGGCGACGTCGACCTCGACGAGATCCGTTTTAGTATGAATTTTTGCTCAGTATAATACTCTTATTTCTCGGCTATACCTATACCTAACCTTGATCTTCCGACGACGACACAAGGTAAATATTCCGACGGTAAATCTTCCGCGATGGAAGTTCGCCAGGACCTGACGTGCCGTATTCTGTTTCGAGCCAGCAAATCTTGTTATTGTTTTAGGCATAGATTGGCTTTAGGAGATCATGACGTCTTCATCTACTTAGATCATCACTTCGAGAAAGCCTGTATGACGATTTTATCTATCATGGTCGCACTGGTTGAACTTGAACTTGCTAACAATATCTGAAAGCGAATGTCGTTCCACCTACATCTAGGTAACAAGGTATGCCTAAATGTTGAGGAGAACGACATTCCCTTGCCTCCAGTAGCATTAATATTTCATCTACTGGTTGAGACAATGGAGGCAAGGGAGTGTCGCTTTTCATCTACTCTTCTCCGATGGAGTGAAGACTCGAGAGCCATGAGCTCCAAGTAGACAGCAAAAAGGTTGCGAGTTGGTCGGCGACGCGGCTGAGTCCTAATGCTTATCCTGCTCCCGATATTAGATATAGATATGTATTAACTTCTATCGATCGTCATCGTGTTCATTCATGATAGATGAAACTGGTGCTGGCTCTATATAGAGTGCAACATTTTAGCTCAATTGTTTCAACTGGTGACTCTATATCTAGCACAAGATTTACGCTCTATATCTACTACATCTAGTACAACATATCTTGAAGTCAGTCAATCTAGGACAAATGCTAATTAGATCTTGTTCTGTACCCCATGTCTGGGCACACTACTACTACTACTAGCTCAATTATTTCTTTGAAAGTAGAGGAAGTTTCCGCATGTTTTTAACAAGTGGACCTGTTCAATCTTGCCGTGAAAACCGCTCTGATGAAGGACGTTGGACATCATGTAATGTTTATGTTTTTACATTCAACTACTCCAAGTATGTACTCAGGTTCAGGAACAGCCATATGTTTATCGGTGGCACGGGTTTTTCGCGCACTTGATAGCAAGCAACGGGGAGGGTGCGTTGCGCTTGTACATAAGCAAAAGACCATCTCGGGTATATGCCGAGCCGGCGCATCGTCCGTGAAATGTAAGACTTCTCTGCGGCCACCCTAGCTGGTGCGCTGGCCCTCTGGCCGAAGACTTTGAAAAAAAGAAAGAACATGTAGTAGGCTGCTTACCGAGTTAGTCCCCTGACAGCTCGCTTCGCAGGTGTCGCCCGCTACAATCGACGACACGTGCGGGCACGTTACTCTTGTAGGCACGACGTTGGTGGCACGGCTGTTGAGTTGCTTCATCGTTTGATAGGTTTAATATTTGATTGATTAAAAGGGAGGCAGCATGATGTACATGTAGTCCTATCTCGATCTACATCATATCTTGAAGGTCTAACCAAAAATATTTAGGTGATTAGAAGGGAGGAAGCGTATAGTCCTATGGAAAAAATAATATGGGAAAACAAAATAGAGCCCGACATAGTGGGCAGCCGGCGTCGCGACTTGTTGTCGTATGTAAGCAATACTATCAACATTGAAAATACTATCGTAGAAATCTACTTAAGTAACAAGCAATACGATCAACATTGAATTTGAAAATACTAAGCTCGTAGAGGGCTTTTGTCTTCCCGTGTAAACAAAAACTTGTACAGTTCTAAGATTCAACCACACAGGGAAGCTGCACTTCTCTGCCATAGACTTTTCATTGTAGGAACAGCTGAAAGAAGATGAAGAGCGGAGAGCTCCAAGACTAACTGTGTACTTAAAAGACAAAGACTGGCGTGAATTAGCTGTTGCTGTTGGTGTTGCTGTTGGTGATTGTTACGACCAGGACTAGCAGACTAGCAGGACTAGCAGACTGGTGTGAATTAGCACCCACGATGTTGCAGAAGCTCTGAGGACTTCCCAATCTCAGTTAAGGCTTACCCTAATCCATCTGCCGAAGCATCTCGAAGAGGCTTTTCAAGGGCAAATGGGGACCAGGATGCTTCTCGAGATGGATAAGGGTGAGCTCTAAGAACTCAGCTCTATCTTTGATACCATCTTCTTGTACTAAGTCTGGACTGATATTCATTCACCGACTTGTACTTCACGTTCACGGTCGGTCTAAAAATTATATCTGTTGTGTCTACGCGTCGTGATAGTGCATGATCGATGTTGAGCATGAAGTGGTTGTACTAGCATGATCTACAAATGATCTAAATCTATTGATTTCGAAAATAGGGTCTACTACATCATCTACCAGCACTAGCTGACTGTAAAAATAGTAATATGATCACCTAGTGGTGGACGAATTAGCAACTATTGTTCGCGTTCTCTTCACATAATTATTCTGCCAATTCTAATTGATAAATCACGACGTGTATTCATTTTCATTCGTATCGTCTTCAATCAAGAGGAGGAACGCTTCTGTTGTGGTATTGGTAAGTACATTATCCTCTTGAAGACGTCTTTTGTACCTCTTCTATCGAGGAATGTCGTAAGGGACTGCATCTTTTTTTCATTGATCTCATCTTCCCGAACAAAGGGAACTGTTCCATCTGACAGTTTATGTAGATCTTCATCTTGTAGACATCGTTGACGTTGATTACGATTATATATAAAACGTCAACGTTTATCATAACTACGTTTACTTGGCGATTGGAAAAGGTTCCTTTGTTGTCCCTCTGTTTGTTCTTGGAAGAAATAACTGCAAGGTCGTGGCGGTGTGGTGCTTATCTTGAAAACAGAAAGAATGTAGTGCTCTGCGATGTCTGGAATTCTTGGATGTAAAAAACTACTTGTATAGTGTGCTGTTGAGAATAAAAAGATGAAAGGAAACGGCTCGAATATGAATGGAAATCTGGCAGGTCAAGATAGTTCTGGCGTTGCTCTTTTTAATAATGTTTGGCTCTATGGATGGTGGTGGCTTGTATAAATAAGCTCATTTTTTGAGTTTACTTGTTGCTGTATGGATGGTGGAGGGTTGTGTAACTAAATAAAACTAATCATGAAAGCCCCTGTGATCCTTATGTGTGTCTGTATTTGAGTTCGGTACTACCTCACGGCTTTGATAAAAAACAGAATTTGAGAATCTGTCACTCTATGGAAAAGTCTACTTGTTTTCGTTTTGGATGGAGGAGGGTGTTTAAGTTTTAAGTTTTAAGAAAGTTAGAATTTGTTGTTGTGTCTACTTAATTGTTTTATGGATGGTGGTGGGTGTTTAAGTTCTACTTGGATGGTGGTGGGTATCTAATTGATTAATTATCCTGACCTATTAGGATGATGTGCTAGTGCTATTGTGTGTTGACTAACTTTTTTACTTCCGATGTGGTGGCTTTGTTTACAGTGTGCTGATCTCGAAAACTCCTCCATGGATGCGATGACCCATGAAAATTCCGTTTAGGTTAGCAGAGGATTGAAGCTAATTTTGTCCACCTTTGTGAAGGAAAAAGTGGACCTTGTATGACTCTTCTGGTCGTGATTATTTAGGCTATATGGACCTTGCACACGGGTAGATATACGTCTGACATTAACTAAGTTGCCCCACAAGCACTGACATACATTCGCATTGACATACATAAGCACAGCGACTACATACAAAAAGCAGCAACATACTTAAGGTCCAACATATAACGAAAAAGTACTAAAAACAACTGAAAAATCAAGAAAATGGATAATATGCAACGTTAACGCGTCTCTCTTCTCGTGGTGACTCTTTAAAGCATTCAGGAAAGCAGGACAGGCTTTGTGTTAACGTGTGACACCTCTACCCAGTAGTCCAATTTGTTGATCTCACATCTTGCAGCTGCGTATTAATAATCGCACCCGCCCAGCATGAATTCGAACGCGCAGTACGTTAAAAGCTGCCGCGATGCTGCACAGGGTAGGATCTGCAGCAATGGAGACAACTGCCAGTTCAGCCACCAGTATGCCGACCTGATGAATATGAACTCGTGGCTCCGACGCAACAACCAAGTCGAAAATGATAACTGCTACCCGTGTCCCTCCTACCTGACTAGTACCCACATCGGTAGCTTCAACGCGAACAACGGCCATAAGCCTAAGCCGACACCGGGACAGAATCAGCAACAGCAACAACTAGGACAAGGACAACAACAACAGCCACAGCAGCAGCAACAGGTCCAGACGCGGAGTTTTGCTACTGGTGCTAATACCAGCCCGGTGGTGCAGAATATCCCACAACAACAGTCACAGATGCAAGTCTACCAGGGGAATAACAACCAGAGCCAAGTGGTGCAAATCCAGGGTCAGCAGCAAGCTAATCTTATCCAGCCTAGTTGTAGCAGCAGCACTGGTTTTACCGCCCAAACAACTACAGCAAAGAAGTCGCGTGGACATGTCCCAGTGATGATGATGAAGAAAGCCCAGGAAGAGGAGGAGGAGATCTTCCCGATGGCCATCAGCACGATGAAGGATCTTGCGGAGGTGTGTGGCGTGCATGACCTGATGAAGGCGGCCAGTTATCCAACGAAGGACTTCTACTTCCCCAAGGCAGTCATGAAGAAACTGCTGGATGATGGTGGGCCAGGTGGTGCGCCGACGTGCAGTCTGATCGTCTGCCACTCAGATGTCGCTATGTGCATCCAGGAGATCTGTCTCCGCATCACGGACCCAGCACGTGCTAACTACATCTATGAGAAGTTGAAGTCACTACCTGTTAAGTTAGACATCTCAGAACAGAAACCCAAGGCGGAGCATGTCGATCAGGACCAGCAACTAGCCAAGCAGAGTAGCGACCTGAAGGACAGCCTCATCTCCGTTATGGGCGAAAAGCTGGGCCTGTTTGGCCAGGAGATCACGAGCCGCATCTCGAATGTTTCCAACCGACTGGAAAGCCTAGAGAAGCGACAGGTGCAGGGCCAGCATGATAACCAGAGGAACACGGGACCCGGCAACAACTGGGGCGTTGGAAGTAGCAACCACATCCAGGCTTCTTCTACTTCTTCATCTAGTTCTATCTCTAGTAACAACATCAACAATTTCCACTACAATAAGATTGCGAACCGTAGTGGCTCCACCCAGAACAAGAGGTGCTCCACGACTACTACAGCGGCGTGCAACATCCAACAACAGCAACCACAACGTAGCCCCTTGGCGCAAGTACTCAGTAATGCCGTTATTAGTGCGAAGGAGAATACGAAAAATCGCAAAATGAAAGATACTAGTGCTGTAGATATCTCCCCTCGCACTAAGACCCAGAAGAATGAAGAGGCACTTAAAAACTTTAAGGCCAAGCAGTTGAGACAGGAGACTGAGGCCTGCGACGACCTGCTGCACAAGACCTACACTGATACCATTGAACATCTCATCAAGAATAAGATCCGCCGCAACCCGTTTGATAATAAGGCTGAGCACTTTGATACGGCTTTTGGCAATGAGATCAGCGTTCTCCAGGCGAAGCTGGCATGTAAGAAACCAGCTAAGCCCATAACCCGCCGCCGGGAGGCCCTCTTGGAGTGCTTGGCGGAACACCAAGACTCCACCATGCAGCTGAGTGCGACTACGGTGGGCTCGAAGATCGCTGAGAAAGTGAGAGCCATCATCAAGAACCACACAACAGAGAACTACATCGATGGCTTTAAGGCGAAGCTGAAGCTGCGTGAGAATGATGAGTACTCACTCTTCTGCGTTATCGCTGCCACGAGTGTCATGTCAGAGCTGCGTGCCGTGCAGAGGGAGGAACGAGAGGCCATCGAGCGCGCTGAGCGCTATGCGCGCGACAATGGTAAGGAGGACGACGATGAGTTCTCGCCCCTTGGTGGTAGTAAGAAGTATGAGGAGACGCTCTCTGAGGCCGAGGAGGACTTCATGTCGGATTTCTTGACCGGCAACAGCAACAACGATGAAGGGAATCAAGCTGGTGGCGCCAGAGATGTTGAGATGGGAGTAACCACAACTACAACGACGACAGGAGGAAAAGGAGGTGGCATCAATGACTGGGAGGCGGTCGACGGCGAAATCTTCGACCTGGAGGAGATGCCGGACTTGTTGGGCCTGGGTGTCGATGGCGACTTCATCCAGATGGACACCCAGGGCACCTTTTCCTTTAACCCGTCCCAGCCAAGTGGTGCGGTGTCGTCCTCGCGACGCGCTGGAAGAGGAAACTCCTCCTTCTGACAGAAATGATGGTGGTGGTAGATGTAGAAAATTCTAGTGGAAGATGTGAAGAAATGAGAAGTGGTAACAATGTTTTTAGAAGTAGTAGGATTAGTAACATGACAAGGACAACAAGAACAAGAAGAAAGATTCCAGTTGGTACTTCCCCGGAACTTAGCCCCTACATCAGCGACGATTTTATATCAGGTAGGCCACTTTGGACCTGCCTTCTAGATTGCCGCACCCGAGTACCTGCAAACTCAGAATATGCATATAATTTTTCCTATGTTTTAGCGATGGAGATCCTTGAATGGGCGCCGCACTGGTTTCGACTGCGACACCAGGCCAAACAGGCGCTCCCAAACTTGATCTTCGTGAGGAACTTCGCATCCCAGCTAGTGATGAACACGACGTCTTACAAAAACTGCCCGAGATGCACTAACTCCCAGTACTACTGCAAGTGCGCCTTCACGTTCAATAGAGCCTGCGGCAGAATCCGGAAGGTCAATCGTGGCAGCGATGACCAGCTCTGCTGTGACTGTGTTAAGACTGACCTCCTGACAGCTAGTGGAAGATTTAAGACCTTGAAAGGCGTGAAGGGGTCACTACCCCGCATGGCACGCGAGAACCTGTTTGCCATCGATGACATCATTGCCCGACTACACATCAATCTGGGTGATACTTGGAGACAGCGGACGCTTAAGCGGAAGCTGGACCAATACAACAACATCTCTGACATCAATCGTGGGTCATCGAAAGTGTGCTACCTCGCGTACCAGCCTTTTTCGAAAAAGGCATACGTCGGCGAGACCGTCAAGGGCTTTGATACACGCATTACGGGGCATATGAGGAAGGCCTTTGTCGGGACCCAGTTCTTCTACAGGAATACGTCTGATTTCTGGCGCTACATGTTTATTCCAATAGTGTACTTGCCAGAAGCAACACCACAGAAGCAGGTCCGTGCGATCGAATCGAACCTGATCGACGAGTTCCATGCCTCCCAGAACACCCAGGGCGTTAACGACTACCACATGTCGGCCTTCCTCCATAGTGAAACGCTGATAAACATGCCCAAGAGGAAACGTCTCCTGCGTCGTAGGAAGCAAGTCGGCCCACCACGTCAGGCACACCCAGTAGATATCTCTGACCTTGCTGCTGCGTCCCGCACTACCAGCATATGCATCCTCCTCTCAAGACGAATATTGCCTCTGCTCCCCCCTATAGTAATCGCTTACCTTGATGCTGCCCCTACTAGACCATTTATCCTGACGAGAAGGGCGAAACACATCCTAGAGGAGCAAGAGCACGAGATATTCATTAGGAACTTGAAGAAGGTCATCCCCGAGAAGGTTAGAAGGTTCGTACTAGAAGTAGGCGAGACAAAACGTAGCCAGAATTTCTGGGACTATGTTGCGGCATTACGTGCTATCTACTACGCATCTGCCACCGATGACTCACCTGCTGTGAACCTATGCATCAAATCGAAAGCAGGCCCAACAGTGATCGACTTCTTCAAGAAAAGCAACTGGGACTACCATGAAGCTGATGCGTGCAACTGTAAGAACATCGTGCACAGATATCCCATGCTGAAGGCTCACACAGTTGAAGGGCATATCATGACGACACTTGAGAAGTTCCGAGAGCTCCTTGGCCATAAGGATTTCATTGCAACAGATCAAGAGGTTGGGAAGTGGAACACAAGGAGTAGATTCCTCAGCCCACTAACTACGAGGGTCGCTTTGAAGAAATCTGCCATGCGATTTGCGGCTTCCCTCAACAACACCAGCGACCTGGGCCCACTGGGACCAGTACTAGACTGCGTGGTATTTGAGTTTTCCCAGGAATACGAGAAGCATGGCATACGGCCCAGGGATATCAGAGGAGAATATCAAGACTTGTGTAGAGTTGTTAATACTGACCTAGTGGATAAGGATGTGGATATGAGTTGCACCTGTCCGCACATCTTGAGACGATTGACGGAGAGGCATATGCAACCACCAACCTATCAACACCTCCCAGGTTTTGCCAGCCTTTTTCGCGATAATGAGAATGCATTCTTTTGGTTATTCCCAGACACCAACATCAGGAGGAAGATTAAACATAGATGGGCGACTATGCGTATGCTACTGAAGAAGAAGTCTTACAAGATCTTGCTATTACCACCAGAAGAGCGGAAGATTATTGACGTGAAATATCGACCACTGACTAGCTATGTGGGCCATTGTTTCGCTGACATCCTCCAGACCGCGGCCAGAGTTGCTAACGATATCATGGAACGTGACCCACGTGCCGCCCGTTGCTTCTTGACTTCACCGGAGAACATTAAGAGGTACGTAAAGGAGGTTGAAGAGAAGGCGCGGCAGCTCCGTATCATGGTGGATGCAGAGACTGGCGATATTGGCGAATTCTTCACCAACTGCGATCTCCAGAGGAGCCTCGCGCGGATCCTTATCATCATTGACAACTTTCGACGTCTGGCTGGGTTTAACTATGCCCGAGTGAGTAAAGCAGCAAAGGCGCTGATACCTGTTACCCATGCACTTGGTGCCCGTGCGAAAACTTATTTTGTCCAGAAAGGGAAACGACTGCAGAAGAGGATCAAGGCGATCACCTACACAAAGAAGAAACCGGACACACGTTTCTACGACTATGTCCGCTTAGATGAAGTCGTTGATATCTTACGGCATGACGTGAATTTCTGCTATGTGCGGGCACTAGGCTCGATCTACAAACAAGTTAACGGTGCCCCGATGGGCTCCTATACTAGCACCCCGCTCTCGAATGGTTTTGCGATCGATGTCGAACTGGAAAAGGGTGCAGCACCAGGAGAAACCGGGAGGAGATATGCCGACGACAAGATTGTTTTCCGACTAAGAGACTCCGGATCAACGGACACGCCGACCCTCCTCGCGAGCGATTTTTACCCTGGTTGCACACTAGTAAAAGACGAAGAGGACGATATTAATTTTTGTGGCTTGGACATCTTAGTGGACAACTCCTCCCCTAGTGGTACGAGAATCGAAGTGATCGCTGGTTTGACGGGTAAGCCGATTGCTTCGGCACTGAGTGCCGGGATGAGGACTAGAATCAAAGGGGTTGTGAGGGGACACCTAGCGAGACTTAGACTGAACAGCACCATACCGCCAATAGATAACATTAAAAAACTAGTTGGCCAAATGATTAGACAAAAGTACCCCGCTAAGATAGTCCTAGAGGAGCTCGACCACATGCTCAACCACTATGATGACGAGCATACTCTTTTTTACTAGAAAGGAAGCCAGTACTTAGGTAGGTTCTACTAGGAAAGAAGCCAGCACTTAGAAAGAAGAACTAAAAGATACATAGGAAATACACTGAATTAGACTCCCGTCTCCGTTTCTCTATTAATTAATTAAAGTAAAAATGCCCGTAACCCCATCCCTACGTTTCTATAACTAAAAGCTCAACTGTACGATCCAAGGATATCAAGTAACTAACTTATTTATTACCTACTTGTTCATTGTCTAGAGTCCCTCTGTCATATTAATAACTGCACTACTAGAACTTGGAAACTTGTTACCTACTTAGCTTGGTTTTTTAAGAAACTTGTTGAAGTAAAAGAAGACGTGCCTGCTCATCTTTCCAACTGATAGAAAAAGTTAGTTTTAGTTTAGATCTGATGGTAGTACATAACACTACCCATGACACTGGCCCCCTATACGGGTGTGATCCCAGTACATGGGCATTAGCATTGCTGGCTTGTGTACTCGTGACGAAACTAAAGTTATATAAAGCTGTAGGCTGATGACTAATTTGTACGTAGTGTTTTAATTTTTACTTGGCGATTGGAAAAGGTTCCTTTGTTGTCCCTCTGTTTGTTCTTGGAAGAAATAACTGCAAGGTCGTGGCGGTGTGGTGCTTATCTTGAAAACAGAAAGAATGTAGTGCTCTGCGATGTCTGGAATTCTTGGATGTAAAAAACTACTTGTATAGTGTGCTGTTGAGAATAAAAAGATGAAAGGAAACGGCTCGAATATGAATGGAAATCTGGCAGGTCAAGATAGTTCTGGCGTTGCTCTTTTTAATAATGTTTGGCTCTATGGATGGTGGTGGCTTGTATAAATAAGCTCATTTTTTGAGTTTACTTGTTGCTGTATGGATGGTGGAGGGTTGTGTAACTAAATAAAACTAATCATGAAAGCCCCTGTGATCCTTATGTGTGTCTGTATTTGAGTTCGGTACTACCTCACGGCTTTGATAAAAAACAGAATTTGAGAATCTGTCACTCTATGGAAAAGTCTACTTGTTTTCGTTTTGGATGGAGGAGGGTGTTTAAGTTTTAAGTTTTAAGAAAGTTAGAATTTGTTGTTGTGTCTACTTAATTGTTTTATGGATGGTGGTGGGTGTTTAAGTTCTACTTGGATGGTGGTGGGTATCTAATTGATTAATTATCCTGACCTATTAGGATGATGTGCTAGTGCTATTGTGTGTTGACTAACTTTTTTACTTCCGATGTGGTGGCTTTGTTTACAGTGTGCTGATCTCGAAAACTCCTCCATGGATGCGATGACCCATGAAAATTCCGTTTAGGTTAGCAGAGGATTGAAGCTAATTTTGTCCACCTTTGTGAAGGAAAAAGTGGACCTTGTATGACTCTTCTGGTCGTGATAACTACGTTTAAGCTTAAGGCCATCATTGTATTGGAGCTATCCTGTGCTACACGGATCATATCGCTAAACTGGACGTAAAAATTGTGGTTCTCAAATACAAGAACATTGAAATGCCAATATGATCTCGAAATTAACCTTTATCGGGTAGCCAACAAAATAAAGGTCGATGAAAAGAGCCGCGGGCAGCTGCAAGGAAGCCCCCGCCAGTGGTGAACTAACGCTTTCTAGTTCCGCATTTGAGGATGGAATGCAAAGATCATGGTGTTCTTTTTCGGTGTCAACATCAAATGCTGCACTGTTTACAGCGTGACGTTGAGAAAATGAGAGGCATAAAGAAGTAGGAGGAGGAGTAGGAAGGCGTCTACTTTCAGTGTTAGGAGGGCATTCGTAACGGTGTTGCTCTATCTGAGAGAAGAGTGTGAAACTGATGGATAAAAATGCGAGAAGAACAAGCACTTCTTACATAATGAAAGCAAATAAAAAAGAAGTAAGTACTAACTAGGTTGTACATCATTCAGCACCACTCAGAGTACGATGTTGTCAGAGTCAACAAACAAAGGAGAAAAATAAGAACAAGTACTAAAAAGTTGGGCAGTTCAACTACAGCAAGTTGAAGTTTAACTAGTGAAACTACTACATCAAGCTTCTACTTCATACTAAAGTCACGAACTACCTAAACCCTAAACCCTTGCACAGAAAAAGAAAATGAAGGAACCTCTTCCATCTGAGTCCCTGTCTGCGTGGCAGGGTCCGGGTCCTCCTGCAGGCGGCGAGGGCTACTTTGCAACTTCTGGAGACGAAGAAGAACAGCTTTTCAACGAGCGCGTGTCTGCACAGGAAGAGGGTAACGATCACAGTAAAGGTCCATCTTTATCTTCCTCAAGTAGTCGTGGAGATGGAGAACATGAACAACACGTCACCTCATCAAGTGGTGCTGGTGGAGAGCGGCCACGGGTCGCGTCTTCTTCTTCAAGCAGGAGCTCACCAGGACCACGAGCAGAGGCCTTCTTACAAGACCCTCGCGGAAAGAGGAAGAAAATGGGCGAACGAGGTGGAGGTTTGAATAGCCGAAACAAGAATAGGCATCAAGTAAAAGATCGATCGGAAAGGGTAAGGCATGATGCTTTTGCATTTTAAAGTGGGAAAGTATATTCTTTCAGCAGCTGTAGAAGTACTACTTAGATGCTGAGATGAATTTCAGTTCATCGACGGCATCAATGTGAATGTCATACTGTAGCGCTAGTACTTAGTCTGAGTATAACGTCTGCGTATCTATTAGAAGGTGTAGTTGAAACTACCTTCATTCCCCAGCGGAAGCGAGGAACAGGAAGACCTTCAGGCACAAAGAAAAGGTGCAGATGGAACCGAACTTCCTCGGATCCAACTGAGTCAACCAGCCAGGCAAAGACTCTACTTAGGGATCGTGCTATTGTTGCTTTATGACTGAGACTGTCGAGAACGTCAAGGGAGACAAAAAAGACGAACACGAAGATACGAATGCCAAAGACAAAGTGGTAAAGACAAGTAACTCTAGAACGCGGCAGCAAACTGTCCAGAGAAGTGCCTTCCTCTAATGATCAGTCCAGAGAAGTGCACAATTGTAACAGGGTCTCCGGAAGAAAGTTTGATGAACCAATTCTTGACCCTCTTCCATCCAGAACTGGTATATGAGGCGGCCGATACATTGGAAGCGAAGCAGTATTTGTTGTTACGAACGATGATCGTGGTGGAACTGGATATGGATTTTTCTAGTATGAAATCTTGGAACAGTTCCACTGGAACTGGATATGGATTTTTCTAGTTACTAGATATAGGATCGATAGGATATATTGTATCATCTATGACGCCCTTGTGGCAGTCTGCACTGAACTTTGTGCGAGGCAGGTTTTGACTTATCGGAACTCGCTTGCAAAGTACGCAGGTAGGTTTTGACTTATCGGAACTCGCTCACGATACAAAAAAAAAAAAAGCGAGATAAATTGTATTGTATTGTATCGTGGTGGAACTGGATATAGAGACTTCATACTATAAATATGAAATCTCTGTGAGTAAAAGTCTATTTCTCATACGAGGACCATTTTCTTGGAGGTAGCATCAAGACTTCGTATCTACTCCTGTATTTCACACCAACGCCATCTGTTTCTAAGCCCTTGCGTGACCTCTCACGCCTTAGCCCGCGGCATGCTTTTCGCGGGTGGCGCGTATGACCACAAGAGACCGACTTATCCGATACTCCTGAACACAGAAGAGCTCAACATCGCAATGGCAGATGCTGATTTGCATTAAGGCTTGATGTTGTATTACGTTGGCCTATCTATGAATTAGAATTAGATTTTTTGGGATAGTGAGGAGGATGTCATGATTATGTTGCTTCGTAGCACAGTTCATTGTGCCTCTTCATCCACACCCCCTAATTGCACAGATTTACACAGGCGGCTCAGAATCTAGATTTCGAACATGAAGGTGGTAATCTTTTGGTCGATTCCGCAAGACGCGTCTTTGCCGAAAAATTGGAAGCCATAGACGTCAACGTGGCTGCATTCGATGATGCTGACGAGGATGTAGGAGTCGAGGGACCGCCAAAAGCATCGTCGTTTTCCTCTGCAGCTTCTTCTAGTTTTGCTGGCAGTTCTCCTGCTGCAGTCGCTGCAAGCAGTTCAACTTCAACGGGACCCAGTCTTAGCGGAGCCGGTGTAGCTTCATCTACTTCTAGTTCATTTTCAAGCAGCGCTGTGTTTGACGCAACTGGTGGTCTAGAACAAGAAGCAACTTCTGCTGCATCGCATGAGGATATTATCATGAGCGGAAACGCCCAACAGAACAAAGGATCAACAACTTATCTCCTGCGTCGTGCAGGACCGAGGAAAAAGAAGGAACACGAACAGAAGTCTTCTTTTATATCTAAAGGTGGAGATGAAAGCAATAGTGCTAGTGCTAGCAAAGGCCCTTCGCCTTCGCCTTCCGTCGACTACGTCATTAGCGAAGAAGAACATGACAGATTTATTGGCTTACCGCCAAACTTCTTCCGTGTTCCTGTTTACACAGACAAGAAAAGTCGACTCTCGAGTGAGCTTTTCTACTCGTCGTTTGTCAAAGGCGACGTGCTTGGAATCCGACAATCAGCAGCGTTGCCTCCAGTCGTCGTGGATACTCGATATCTAGATGGTCTTTGGATTGCGCGGTTTGCGTTGCTGTTCACGTTGTTGCTTTTATGGCCTTTGGCCGGACCTTTTAGAGAAGAATTGCAAGTTAGAGGAAGGTCTGAGCAGTGGTGATGAAGATCAACAACAAGAACAAGCACATGAATCATTTAGTTAAATACATATACTAGTCCGATGTGTTCGTATTTACATTTAGATATATCTTTATGTTGACTAAGTTGTCAAACAAGTCTTGCTTCGACCTACAAGAAGCTGAAGCTGCTCTTCTCCTTCTAAAAGTAGGCCCCATGGCCGTCTTCGTCTTTGCGCGCAACAAGATCTTGAAGGGAGAAGAAGAAAATACAACGATGACATGGATTTGTCATCACCTATGTTGTAGCCGAATACGAAAAGAGGACGGAACAAGTAAGCGTAAAAGTAAAAAAACAAGAGAAGGAAAAAACGACGAACAGGGTAGGCGGTCGACAAAGCGATCGAGTAAAGTTAAGGTTTCATTCTACTAGAGGTACAAATATTAATCAATTATCCGACATAGGTATAGGAGGAGGTATGATAAGCTCGCTATCGCTTCTAATGAAACTTCTAAGCTCGCTTCTAATGAAACTTCTACCTCGACAGGTTCAAAAAAATCGATTTTTTCCGCAGCTGCAGACGAAGCGGAAAGCGAACAATTGAAGGAAGAGAGGAGGATGAGTCACAAAATGGTCTCTCGTGTCTTTCTATACTTAAGGCTCAGCTTTCAATGGTCACCATTGAGATTGGAGTCACTGAGATCGAAGAAGCGACCCCTTTGGAGAACAGGGGAAAACGAAGGGAAAGGGGAGAGCTTTGAAGGGGGTCCCTTCCGTTCAGAGTCAGTGACCGTTGAAGGCTGAGCTTTAATATAAGATGACGAAGAATCTTTCGACGAGGGCAGCTCTTCTTCGGATGATGAAGTGACCAAAGGCGAGATGATGCAACGTGACTCTGCAGCTGAAGCATCTGGAAGTAGAACATCCCCATCCGCAAGATCTGGCAGGAGTGGAGGTACTAGAAGTACTTTGGATTGTAGTACTGGTGGTCGTGGATCTACTACATCGATGTTTCAGATGCCGCCTGATTAAGATTTGCAAGTTGACCGATCTGAGAGCCTATCGAGATGGCCTTTTCAATTTCAAGGAAGAAAGGGATAGATGCGCGAGCTAGATAGGTCAACGTCAAGTTGCAACCGCTAACATGAGTCCAGTGCTGGTGGCCGTGTTTTGAGGCTGACGACGAAGCACCAGGACTTGGTCCAGGTGAAAGAACTCGAACCCGGACCACCTTGGATGATCAGCGTGCAGCAATTCATACACAACATCTGGGCGCGCCACGTACGTTTACTGCTTTAAGATGAACCATATTACTGTCGAGGAACTTTTCTGCAATGTCCGATTCACGTTATTTATCAGCTGCTGCATATGAAATGTCTCACTTCGCTCTGTTAGCACTGTCTAAAGATGGAAGAGACGGAAAAATCTGCATCAACTGACTATTAATTAAGTAATGGCGATTTCGAGGCTTCGCGACCTCCCTTTGGGCCACCCATCCTCTTCGTAGGGAGCCCGGATTCATCTGCTTTGCTGGGTTCTCCGGGCCGCCGTGGCAGCGTCGGGTGGGGTGTGAGGAGTTGGTGGCCCAGGTTTAGGATGATTGAGGCCGCCTCTCCAACATGCCGCCTTGTCCCCATCGGTGGCGTTGTGCGGTAAGTAGGGTTGCACGTTAGGAACGCTTCGAAATAAGTACTTACGATGAATTAAATTGCCGTATTGTGCTCATCTAATTCCTTCTCTCCCTCTTCTTTTTCGCCTACGCCTATGGAACGCAGCTGAAGTTCCGTCTTGATTATTGGCGAAGGAACGAGATTCTAGAGGGTTTGCACCAGTCCTGTCTTGCTGTCCAACAAGCGGACTTCACTGATGCAACTTGTGAATTCGACCTCTCTCTGAAACGCGCGGTCGACGCCTATCTGATGCAATATGCACCCTGTCTCCAGACTTTATCGAAGTTGAGGTTTGCCGAGCTAGT